TTTAAATATTAAATGTTAATTATAGTAATAATATTTTAATATTTAATAAAATATTTTATTGTGATTAGACGGTTAAAGTAACAATTAAAATTGTTGTTGAAGTTAGGATCTCATTAGGGCTTTAGTCTTCTAGAAACTCTTTCGTACGTTACAGTGATAAAAAATTCCAATTGGCCTGAATTAGGTACCTGCTTTGTTTCAAAGACCACACATAACGCCAGTATCGCATCGGACTCCAGTAATCGTTTCACTGCTTTAATTAAAGTTATACCGAGAACTCGAGTAACTTTGTGTCTAGTCAACTGATGACAAACTCCATGAAAGGGAGCTGATCCCTCAGGTGACAAAGCCAGGGTTCTAAATGCGAGTGATTGTCAACAAGGCAGAGAATCTCTTAACCAGCTGAACAACTGTCAGTTTTTCAAGACGTGCTCTGGCAATTTAAGGGCTCCATAACATGCAGAACATTTATTACTCAGCTAAGAGACGACCTACGTTTTAAATAGACTGTAGTTTTTCTGGTTAATTTCATTCTGCTTTGTAGCTCACGTCATATAATCTTCTAAAAGACAGAAGATTCACATAATTAAATTGTAAATGGTGTTTTTATTATTTCTTAAGCAAATGGCAGGTTTTAAATATACTCAGATTTCTGAGAAGGTGACGAGTGGTCTTGTAAGACTCTAATCGCCTTACCCATGTGAAAAGTGTCCATAGATCTCTGTGAAAATAATCTTCTCCGGTCTTCGTGCTAATCCGGATAAAGTTGGTTAATGACTGTCATATGGGGATCAAAGACCTTATTAATTAACATATCACAACGCTACTAGTCGTTTAGCTATTCACGAAATTCCCTGTCATTAGTTCCTAGTTCTTGGAAGTTGTTTGTTTCCCTTGGGTTTAAGACAAACATTTTGAAAGCTCTATTTGCAACATTTTATATCTAATAAATTTACCTTAAATTGAGGATTAAATATTCAGTGTAATAATGACATATCAGCGATCTGTTGTATCTAACATCCTGTCACAATCTTTAACCTCTTAATCACTGATGAATTATCATTTTATTCATTATTAATATACTTAATAAATTTCGATGTATTACTAAATATATTCGTGGGAACACAAATATATTAATGGAATAGTGGAAATAATTCAAATTTCGTAGTTTAGGTGTATGTGAATACATTTTTATTACCTTCTACGAGAGACTTTTAGAGCATAAATTGCAGTAAAGGAATTAATACATAAAATTTTAAAAAAATGAGACTTTATAGCGGAAATTTTATATTCTAACCTATCTACAACTTCGTACATTTTAATTTAGAATAGAAAAATATTATTGTTACAAAACATAACCTATTTAAACTGAACCCTGAAGATTACGATTTATATAAACATGAAGGTTTTATTGGTGTAACTAATTAATAATTTTGCATGGTTAAAATATCAATTAGTGCCGGCGTAGCACAGTCAGTATAGTGACTGGCTACGGACTGGGCGACCGGGGTTCGATCCTCGACAGGATTCTTCCTCTAGTCTCTGCGTCCAGACCGGCTCTGGGACCCACCCAGCCTCCTATCCAATGGGTACCGGGGTCCTTTCCCTGGGGTAAAGCTCGGCCGGGGCGTGATGCTGACCACTCACCCCCATCTAGTGCCGAGGTCAAGGAAGAGAGGAGCTATACCTCCTCTCCCCCCAAACGCCTACATGGCGTATAGTGGGACAAACTTTACTTTAAAATATCAAGTATTTTTATCAGTTTTCGAATACGTATGTTTGTGCCATAACTTAAAAAAATATTTACAGAGATTTGAAGAAGATATAAAATAAATATTAGAGAAAGAATAATAGAAAAACAATAGAATGTTAGGTGTTTAGGAAAAGAAATTATTTTCCGTTGAATTTCAACGGGGCGTTTTACACCGGTGAATACATAACGTCTCAGAATGGAAAAGGGTACTTACAGCTTCCGGAGAAGTTCATTGGATGTGTGATAGCGTCGTAGCGGTCTATGCTGAGAGCCACAAGCACGTACGTGGACGAGTAGGTGACCGTGGCCTGTAAGAACCAGTAATCGAATCATCGTAACGAATTCCGTTATAAACTGCTAAGCTACCCTAGCAACGGCAAACCACAGTCTAATTCTCGTATTAAAACTGACGAAGTGTCTACCAGCTTCTTCAGTCTCCGTCAGGATCATTTTATCTTCAAATATAGTTCTTTAATAGAAGAAGTCTTATTACCTATGAGAGGACGTCGATTAAAACTGTTATCAAATATATTTATTTGCGTCGAAAACAGCTGTATCTTATTTTTATAAAGCACAAATATTATTTAAAAAAAAAAACATTTATCTAAAATTTTAATATATTTCAAAATTTTTTCAAATTAAATTTCCATGAAAACTTCTTTTTAGGACAGCGTTAAAAGAGTTTTGCAATTTACTAATTTTGTATCGAAATGTTTGACTCATACGTACATGAACAGTTCTCTACATCTAAACATCTATACATTATTGTCTTTCGTGTGAAATATATTTTATAAAAATTGTCTACACTTCAGAAACATCCCTCTTAATCAAGATTAGTAATAAATTTGAACATACAGATGGTTATTAACGCTTATAAGACCACACGAATAAACTTTGAATATTTCGGTGTAACATTATTCATTACCAACAACTTAAATGGACCCTTTCTCTTTAAAAATTATTTATTTCTTCAAAAGTAAAGTTTTTATTTCGTCTGGAACAGACTTCTTGAAGATTCTGTAATGAAAATCAATAATAACACTAATCCTCGCGACAAAGGTAAACCTTTAACGACTGTTACGTCAAGAATATATATATATATATATACATATATATATATGTAATTAATTAGCTCACCACTTTTTAGGTCGTATTATACTTATTTTTACTGTTAAAGGTACTATTACATTTTATATGCATTAATATTTAAACACACCAAGATAAAGGAAGGGCAGAAATGTCTGATATATTTCGTCAATGTTATATCCTCTCAACTTTCTAGCTGTAAAATTTGTCGGTGTCAGAGCATTGGTAGACAAGTCACAAGATATCACACATCTAAAGCGATTTTCAGAAACTTATCACAAACCATATTCTACGAATTTTTCACAACTTTATGCAGATATGATTTTAATATTTACATATGAACATTGCAGTCATAATTTTGCTAAATTTTATGTGATATGAAATAGGTACGGTTCATAAAGTAACTATACGAGGTGCGATCGGAAGGTTTCCAGACTGCGCGTATAAAAACCCGTACACTTATCTCAGGTATTAAATTCATCCATCACCCTCGAAGTAGTTCCCCTGGGAGTGAACACAACGATCCCAGCGCCGCTGCCAAGCCTGGAAGCATCCCTGGAAATCTTTCTTTGTCAGCCTGTCAAGCACCATCTGCGATTCTGCCTGAATCTCTTCTATCGTCTCAAATCGCCTTCCCTTTAAATTCGATGATGCCGGCTGGCACACTAATTCACTATGAATGTAGGCCGCACCCCGTAGCGGCAGAAGCCCGTACTACATCCGGTTCGCCCTCTATTAACACAGTCTAGAAACTTTCCGATCGCACCTCGTATATATATAAGGTCTTTTTATAACATCTAAGCAAATGCGATTTGTAACCCGCGTGGGTATAAAGGCCTTTGTTAACGCGACATTGCACTGACGTGTTTGAACGTCGCAAAGCAGGAAAAATATTAAAGTTATTTGTTTTGTTCATTACTGTGTGACTGATCCGTCGCTTTTGTTTAATTTAAATTCTTTTGAAGTGTAAGATTCTAAGAATTTCTTGTAGCAGTCAGCAGTGACTCAAGTCTTTGATGTGCAGGTCAGTCGTAATTAGTTATTTTCCAACTTTCATTGTTCGTGTGGAGGAAACGTTTGACGAATAGCATTTTACGTGACTGGTGTTCTGGGTAAATATTTGTCGACCTCTTTTCATGCGTGTAATTCTATTAGAATAAACAGTGATAAGTTTCCAGCAACGTATTATACTTATTTTTACTGTTAAAGGTACTATTACATTTTATATGCATTAATATTTAAACACACCAAGATAAAGGAAGGGCAGAAATGTCTGATATATTTCGTCAATGTTATATCCTCTCAACTTTCTAGCTGTAAAATTTGTCGGTGTCAGAGCATTGGTAGACAAGTCACAAGATATCACACATCTAAAGCGATTTTCAGAAACTTATCACAAACCATATTCTACGAATTTTTCACAACTTTATGCAGATATGATTTTAATATTTACATATGAACATTGCAGTCATAATTTTGCTAAATTTTATGTGATATGAAATAGGTACGGTTCATAAAGTAACTATACGAGGTGCGATCGGAAGGTTTCCAGACTGCGCGTATAAAAACCCGTACACTTATCTCAGGTATTAAATTCATCCATCACCCTCGAAGTAGTTCCCCTGGGAGTGAACACAACGATCCCAG